TTTTGTTTGGGGTGGGTCGGGGGGTGGGGGGTGGGGGTGGGGTAGCATATATATATATATATACACACATGTATACAGGACTCGTCTGCAATCTGTCTAGCAGCATGGTTTCAATATGTGCCCGATATCTGCCTAGCTTGTGGCCAGTTTGTTCCTATCAGTTTTTCCGCCATCCGTCTAGCAGATGCCTGGCTAATGATGATATACCTTTACATCAATTTTTGATGTGTTGTGCAAGCGACCAAAACTACTTTTAGCATATCTTAATGTAACAATATATGTTTGCATATATAGTATGATGTTGCTAGCTTCTGCTTGGTTACTCCTTGCATGTTTGTAACATCTTGTTTTCTCGCTGACATGTTTGAAGTATACGTCTGTCTCTTCAGGTACTCATTCGCTTTGTGAGACTATGTGCATGGTCTGAAGACATGTAAGAAAAAAGCTTGAACGCAGGTTGATCACAACACCAGAGCTTGCTGAGCATGGCAGCCCACGAGCCTGCAGTCCAAATTTGGGGCGCCGTGCTGCGGAGCGTCCTTGAGCCTTAAGGTTTTGGAAAGCAGTCGTCAGACGGCGAGCTCTTGGGGCTCTTTGGAGGGCAAAGGTGTAAGTTGCATCGTACCGTCAGGGACTCTTCGGGTTTGCGCGATAAATTTCCACGAGATCCCTCGCACGCCCACCCACACAAACACGCACAACCACACAAACACAAACGCACAGACAGACACACAGACACCAATGACACAAACACAAGCACAAACACAAGCACACACAAACAGACAAACGCAAACACACAAACACATAAACACACAACCAGACCAAACACACCAAGCCCAAAAACAGGATTTTGAATTTTTCACCTTGTGTACGGTACCATTTGCATTTGCAGCTACAAGAAGCATTCCGACTATAGTTGTGTGTTTAAACAAATATGACTCTGATTGAGGGCTCATGTTTCAACAACATGACAAACTCTTCGCTGGAAGTCCACACTGGCGCCAATCCATCTGAAGACAGCTGAAACTTAGGTTTAGAACGGCGATAGGATATATATATATATGTATATATGGTACAGCGTTGCCACCCCGGCCCCCCCCCCCCGCCCCCCGCCCCCCCCCCCCACCCCCCCCGCCCCCCCACCCCCCACCCCCCTCCCCAAGGGTCATGGGTCAGACAAGTACCCCCCCCCCCTTTGGTTGTGGTGGTTTAGGGTTGGTTTAGGGTTGGTTTAGGGTTGGTTTAGGGGGTTTAGGGTTGGTTTAGAATTGGTTTAGGGTGTATTTAGGGTGTATCTATGGTTAGTTTAGGGTTGGTTTAGGGTTGGTTTATGTTGATTTAGGATTGGTTTAGGGTTTATTTTTTAGGGTTTGGTTTAGGGTGTATTGTGGGTTGTTTAGGGTTGGTTTAGGTTTAGAGGTTCTTACGGTTTAGGGTTTCATTTGGGGTTTGGTTTAGGGTGTATTTAGGGTTGGTTTAGGGTTAGTTTAGGGTTGGTTTATGGTTGGTTGCGGGTTGGCTTGTCCTGGGGTGGGGGTGCCGGGGTGTCGGGGGTGGGGTGGGACCGTAGGTGCCAGGATCCGGGGGCTCGGGGTCTCGGGCCGGGGGAGGGGGGGTCCTGGGAAACCCATACCATCTGGGGGGGGTGGGGGTAGCAACACGGAACACGGTACCATACATACATACATATATATATATATACATAATATATCACATAATGGTTATGGCGAGCTTGCCTGGAGATTCAACGAGCTCACCCATGATCAAGGTCCTTTACTTAGGTGTTGCTGAATTCAGACACATAGGTTCATGGGTGTAAAAAGCGACCAATGCGAAGTCGAGCAGCAAAGTGCAGGTACTCACCAGGGCTGCCCAGGATGTGCGAGTACTGGTCATCAAGTTCGCTGACCGCCTGCACAACATGCGTACGCTGGAGAATCTTGCGCATCCTTGAGCTCAGCAGCACAAGAAGACAAACGCATGTCAAATCATTATGTGGCTTCGCAGGAGCACATGCCAGCTTCAAAGCAACGGAGAATTGTTGAAGGCTAAGTGAGCTGGCAACCCTGAGCAAGGTTTGTTGCTTGTCAGGGCTTTGGCCAAGGCGCAAGAGACGCGAGCTGTGTATGTTCCGCTTGCTGAACGGTTTGGCGTACACATTTGGAAGACAGAGTTCGAGGAGAACCAAAGTGACAAGTGGATTCCTTGTTTTGATTTGTTCGGAGGAGCTCTGCTGCAAGTACTTGAACGGCTATGCTTACGAGGCTCTTGTAGTCGCTGCGGAATAGTGCCTGAAAAGTATGTACTGTTTGGTGTGGATTTGGTCGCTTTGAGCAGGAAGTACTGGAGCGGAATCACCGTTTGAAGGCAGGCCTGAATCTCCGGAGCGGCTTTGTCGTGTCGCAACTTCAAAGGTCGCCAGAAGTCGGCATCTCCGCTACATCGAGCAGTACATTCGAACGATGCTGGCAGCCTGCTCAGCAGTTTTTTTCAACATCGGCAATGCGATGTGTCAGGTTGAAATGACTTCTGAGACTGTCCTGAAGATCGACTTGCGCGAGGAGCGTCTTTTACCGCTGCTCGATGCGTCTGGTGCTTGCGCTGCTTGCGCCTAAGGAGCCACCGCATACCCAGCTTCGGCGCTGGGCGCCGCGGCCTGAAGCAGACGCTCCGCAGCCCATCCCTCGGATTTGGATCGTTACAAAGGCCGGAGCGCGTGGGCCACGGGAGGTCTGGGGATACTCGGGGGGGAGATTTTTCCTGTCGCAGGACCGAGATGCTTGCTGGGCATGCCTGGGTCGAATTCATTCCATCCTGCCACCCATGTCTGGAGTCTCAGATTCCTCCAGTTCTCAGCTGTTGATCAGCCCTATTGCCAAGGCCTGGACGCTTGCGTGACTACATTTCCTCGCCCAAGGCTGCACACACACACACACACACACACACACACACACACACACACACACACACGCTTTAGGTCAGCTATAACAGTGAGTTGACCGGATCTGGCCAGGAGAACCTCTACATGTGTTTGCACACCACAGTTCTGATGGACGGGGCAGCTGTGGAGGCGCTGGAATACAGGGACTACAGATGATGCCTGTTTTGCCGCAATGATTGCTTGTGAACCTTGGCCTAGGTGTACATCCTCAGTGAGGAAATGGAGTGGGTCGCTGATTTCGGAGTGGGTGCTTACTGGCGGCACAACGAGGACGTGTCAGGGTGAAAGTTTGCGAGCAGGAAGCGCTAGCAATAAGATCCAGGCGAAGACGCATGCATCCACCTGACGAAATATGTCCCGCTAGTGTGTGATTGTTCGACACTTGCGAGAATGCACGACTTGCTGCATCGTTTTCCGTTGCACTGCAAAGAGGAGCTCCAGAAAACCGAGACGGGGCGATCTTTTCTTGCGGCACTCCACTCCACCTGGATTTTGCAGGCAGCCCTGCTTCAATGTGACAAGCCGAGTGCTTCAAGTCAATGCCAGGCCAATCAATCGTTGACCCACAGTCTTCAGTCTTTGGAGGTGGGAATCAGTCACAGCGACAGCACACTGTATCACTGCATGGCATGGCGCGGGTTTCAGCATGAACCCGTCCAGCAAGTGCTTGGCTCTTGGGAGTAGAATGCCAACAGTTTGTGATTCTGTCCGATTGTACATTTGTCACTTTCAAGCTGCATGCTCCCCTGAAGGCGATAGAACCATCGCGGCTGCCTTCTGGAACAGAGAAACAACTGCAAGTTCAGCCCGTCAATCAGGATATCCCTGCTGAGATCCGCTCAGACCTGGTGCAGTCCAAAGACGACGGCATCAACGTGTTGGACAACATCGCTGCCAGCCCTCCGCCCACCTTGGATCCCTCTGCAGCCACAATCTCGATACCTTCCGCGCCCCAAATAGAGAATGCAGTTGATGAGGCAGCTGCGCGCGGCTGAGATCTGGCCATTTCTCCCTCATGCAGCATGGGTATGGGTTAAAATTAAACCACCAAGGGACCATTTTGGATTTTTGACCCACAGCCACCTGGCGAACCAAGGAGGAAGAGGGCCTTTTTGCGGTACAGCCTTTGTCATGCCGGCATTGGGCGTGCTCCTGGCTGGGCGAGCTTGCAAATTGCCAGCCAGGTTGAAGCGAATCTCAAAAGTTGCCTTCAACTTTGCCGATAGCACAGGTGCAATCGAAGGTTTGGCTACGCTTGAAAGCTGAGCTTGTCAGGAGAAGACGAGGCATGCTTGCAACATGTGCTGCATTCTGTTGAGAAGCTTGCGATGAAGTAGACCCCAATTCAATTTGCTGCGATGAGGACTAGCAAGGATGGGTTTGGTGGCTGCTGTTTTTTGGTCCGAAATAATAAAAACAAGTTGGAGCCTGGCGGGCATCGGGTGGCACCAGCTACATAGGCAGTGAAAGGAAAGGCAGGGGGAGGCTTGCACGACAGGGTGGCTGCGAGCTGCTTACCGAGCTACATCGTGCCTACAGCGAGGCGAGGCGCTCAATGCGAACTTCGAACCTTCGCGGGGCTCGCTCCCGACTTCTCGCGAGGCTTTGCGCGAGAAGGTGGCGGTTTTTACGCCAACAGGCAGGACTATGTTCTGTTTCCAAGTGTCGCATTGACGGAATTGATCGTTTAAGCCCACATCACCAAAGCATTCTCCCTGCTACATGTGTTGTGTGTGTGTGCGCGCGTGCGTGGTTTGCCTTTGGTGCTGTCATGCTAGGCCGGGTTCTCTACCTTCCAAGAAATGCCACGCCGCTCGACTTTGCCGTGTGGAACCTTGGGGCGAAGAAGGCTTGGAGTGCGAGCATTCGAGAATTGAAGGTATGACTCAGATAGGCAGCCATTCTGGAAGACAGATGGTAATGGATGAGACGAAGAGAATGGATGAGTGTCAACAATACAAAAAGGTGCAGGAGTTGTAGTGTTGGTGATGCTTCCGCCTTCTGACAGGGACTACGAGCAGAGGCAGCCTTCATTGACAACAGTGAAGCGCCTCTGAATGAAAAGCTTCAAGAGGCACGAGACGCAGCAGCTGTTGGATACCACTGAAAGCCTGCCCACTTGACAGGGGCAGACAGTGCTTGTGCACCTTCATGATGACGAGAAGCTTCCTCCACCTTTGGAATGGGCCGGAGTTCATGTCAGGCCGCATGAATTTTCAGCCAAGGCTGGACACAGTTTTCTGCTTGCGCGTGCCTCAGGTATCTGCGGACAACCCGAGCCAGAGCTGCCCTGGTGGACATGAGGACTTGGTGTGTAGCGTGAGTGCATGGGAGCGGAAGCTGTTCCAGGACGCAGATGCTGACGGAGCAAGAGGCGGTGGACCAAGGCAAGGCTGCAGCCTTCTTTAAACAAAGGCTTTGTGTTGTCCTGACCCGGCCAGCACACGGTCCTGCTTGCGCTGTCAATCAGGGCCTGGGCGTTGTACGAGTTTGCGGGCTGGCTAGAATGCGGCTGATTGTTTGGGCTCATATTGTATGGGAAGCGTGACGCTGCGTCGGCGAAGGATGGCGCCTAGAGCGGCCGAGCGTGTTGGAGTCAGGGACTGGTGGGCGTGTCAAATGAGATCCAGCGGTTCTGGGGGGCTTGAGCGGACGTTTGGGGCTGCCTCGGTAGACTGAACTAGCTTCCGGCTCGTGCTGGCTGGGGCCAAGCTGGAAGCGAGTTGGGAAGGATAAGGATCAAACTGGCTTGCAGACTGGGCGACTGGCCGTCCGCAAACTGGGCTGCGTGCCATGTAGGCAATGCTCGATTGGGACTGACAGCAGGCAGTTGGCCTCCAGATGAGGGGTTGGGTCGGGAAGGCAGACGAGAGAGATGAATGCCCCTGCACCATGACTGGCAAAATGCGGCATATGCACCTTGAGAGGCCGTGTTGCCATTCAAAGAGAGCTGGCTCTTCACAGTCCGAAGCTCAGGAGCTGGGCCCGTGCTCAGAACCAGCGCATTCTGACAGGTTTGGATTCGTCCCTTCGCAATGAGCTTGGCGATGAAGTCTTGGCAGCTCTGGGCCATGAGCCCGGCTTGGAACTCAAAAGTCAGATTGGCAGATGCTTGGTCCCAAGGTCGTGGGGCCTTGCCGCTGGAATTGGTGAGTGGTCAGCTGTTGGCTGCAAGGCAGTTTGATGTCTCCTCACATGGCTGCGCGATCTGGCACTGTGCAGGCTGCACATGCCTCTTGGAGACGCCAGCTATGAGAGCCTTGGCTTTGTTTCCTTGCACGGAGGTTTCCAGGAACATAGTCCGGCAAGCTTAAAGATGCTCAACAATATGAGCGGGAGCAACACTTTGATCATGCTGCATTGCAAAGGTACACTGGAGATGCGGGCATGGTGTCGACTGACGGCGAGGCAACTCGTGGGCATGACAAAACAGACGAGGATCGCTGAGTGTGGTTGCACAAAGTGCCAGGTCTACAGGCAAGCCTTCATGCTGGTAGCCGAGGCTCGGGCACAAGTGCGATGGTTTGTCGGAACTCGCGTTGGGAAGGACAAGCCTGGCCTAATGGCGGACGTCGTCGCCGTGGCACGTGCTTTGCCAAAACACAAGTGCTTTTAGCAATGCCTGCAATCTGAGTTTTCCAAGGTGAGAGTGGCCTGGATTTCCAGCACTTCAGTGCTAAGCCTTGTGACCATGGCGCGGTTCTTGTCTTGACTCCTGCTTGTCCATGTCTCGCTGCTGCTAGGCCTTTGCACGATGGCAGGGGCCTGACGCGTTTTGGAAAATGTCGACACTTCTGTGCTTGCGGTACGGACCATTCCAAGAATGAGCTCAGGTTGCAGCTGTCCAAACAGATTGTGCGCTCAGATTTGGGTCTTTGCTGCACAACCTTCGGTGCGCCTGGGTGTCAATTGATGCTGTAGAACTCTGGAGGATGACCATGCCGATTCAGTGGGTTGTGATGCACGGGTTGGCTCCAGGTATCGCGCTGAAGCAGTTCTGTGGCCATCTTGGCAAGCAACACGCTGGTTGGAAAGTGTTCAGCTGAAGCACTTTGAGTTGCCTCAGGCTGCAGCGGCTCCCAACCGAATTGTCAACTGACGCCTTGGAGCGTTGGACCTTCGAGGCACGGGGAATGCCGCCTATTCCATGAGTCACAGCCAGTGGAGGCACCGCCATCACCTGGCTTGCCCACATGGAATTGGAAGAAAGAGGCACATTGGCACTGTCATTTTGGTAGCGCACGAGGAACCGTTGTCAGCTGTATGCTGAACTGCCAGGCGCTGAACCTGGTTACGCTCGAGCCAGCTGCTACATGTTGAGACAAGTGAAGAACTTACTGGGATGCAGGCGCTTTCCTGCGCATGTGTCCAAAGGAGCCACTGCCCGGGAAAGCCTGTAATTTAGGCAATCCTAGCAGACAATCACAGGGTACAGGCTCTTTGCCACAAAGAAGCCTTTCGCTTGAAGCCTTGAATCGACTCGGCTTTCCATGAACAATTTGTTATTTTTTGCCGCCGTGTATTCGTACAATGGTGCTCCTTGTACCCTGGATTGCAAGCAGATGTTAGCCTGCTTGGCTCCTTGTACATAGTGGAACAGACTGACTCTCGTCGAGGTCACTGGCTTCGCCTGTCGGGCCGGTGGCATAGCGCATTCTATCACGCAGTGCTGCTGACCAGCAAGCATGAAAGAGGTGCAGATGCAAAATGGCCCACACAAATTGTTTGTCGAAATGGGCCATAGTTCAGGATTCAACATACCTCTCAGGCAAGAGTTTTGCTTGCGGTATGCTCAACCACGGATCGCCTGCAAACGCTTTCATCTGATAACTTTCTGCCCCACATTTGAGATTCCTTTTGGTGCAGGACCATGCTTTTTTGCCGCGTGCCATGCTGTAGTGGCATTGTTTCGTGGCATTTTCCAAATGTACAAGACCGATGGTGTGCCTGGTGTAGCCTTGACATGCGCATGTAGCCTTTGGAGTGCTGAGCTGCTCACATACTCCGAAGCCTGTTGCGATGCATGCACACCATGAAGGTTCAACACAACAACAGGCAATTTGGCTCCCCAGAAAGGGCATGAGCAGCACGACTTTCATGGCTCAACTTGCAGGAAGTGCCAACCCCGCCGGCAGGAATGCTCCTGGCTCTTCGATGATTCAATTGGCAAACCACTGGACAATTGCACTGACATGAGGATGGTAGATCTAGACAAAGCTCACGACGTGCATCATGTATTGTTGGCACTGTGTAGCAGTCTACCAACTTTTGTCCCTGTGAGCTCAACCTAGCGCTTCACTTGCTTGCCAACTCGGGTTCGCAGACGCCACGCATAGTCCCACCAGAAAGGTGGGAACGGCACATTCACTCCCCTGCACCCTCATGCTGCATCCAGGGGCATGGATCGAGCGGAGAGCATCGAGAGCGCGATTTGCGCCGTGCAGCAGGCGCTCTGTGCCCGACACAGAGTTGTCACAATTGCAAGTGGGCCAGGCCATCAGCCACAGCGGCTTATCATCGGAATGGACAGGGTCCATCATGCACTCATTCAACACCGTTCAGTGTTAGAAAATGTATTGAGAACAGCTATCAATGCTACCAGCTTGGTGAACCTCTTTTGCAGGACCAGTATCCTATGTGCCAAGCTCCGCAGGCACGTAGTCCAGTCAAGTTGGAGTGTTGAAGACACGACTGGTGAATACAAACTCCGTGGATAGGCCCTCTGACTGCTCAGATGTGAGGAGGGCTTGGAGCCTAAGCTTTGCAGGGTTGAAGTAGGAGGATGACAGTTTGAACTCTGTTCGCCTGAACTAATGATGTTTGCAAGTGTTTGAAGGATTAGCGCTCACCACCATGAGTTGCTTTTCATCCGATTCCCACATGTGAGGGCAATTTGTGCAGTGCTCACGTCAAGTTGCACGGATAAGGTATTGGAGAAAAATGGTTGGGTGCGCGGCAATGTCCTCAGATTTTGTAGCGGCATTCATGATCATGTTTTTGCAAGGATCATGATTGCTCATCGGCCGCCAAGGTCAGTTTCGAAGCCCCCCTGTTCGTGAACTGCTGCTCAGGCCCCCTGACACTACTCATTCGGGGGCGATGTTGTGGAGCGAGAGAGCATGTCTTTTCCACCGTGCAGGGAGCTCAGGGAGTTGACACTTGCTCAGCTCTCAGTCTCAAAATGTCTTTTGTCTTTATAGGAAGAACTTGGCCTTCAGGAAAGCCAAAGCTCCATGCCGCTGCGGTGTTCGCCTTACGTTGCCGGTGCCTTGGCGGCTTCACTGCCTCACGAATGCAGGCTGGACGAGGATCGCCGGTTCGACAGACAGTACACCTTTGAGGCCCTGCGTGTCAGAGATCAGCCAAGCACATTGCGTTGATGGGTGAGTTGTGAAAGCTGGACTTGGCCAGAGAGTTTATCGCCTTGCTTAGTTGCCTGTTCGACATTGTACGAGATACATCTGAAGTGGTGGGTTGACATTCGAGAACATGGTTCTCAGAGCCTTCCGCTTTTCACAAAGACCACTGCCAGGAGAAGGAGAAGCCAGTGGGCGAGGGCACGTATGGCGCTGTGTTTCGAGCCTACGACAACGTGTCGTGGTCCTGGCTCATATTCTGTGCGATTCCCACCATGTCAGGGTCCAGGTTAGATTCGGTCGGCAGGTGTGGGTCGATGCCAGGCGCCGCACGGTAGCCATCAAGCGGGTGAAGATGGAACATGAAGACGAGGGCGCCGGCACCTTGGGATGCCCAGTTTTCAATGCCACCGGTATGGGTCAAAATTCAACCAGGGGTTCTTGTTTCCATTTACTAGGCTTCCAATTTGCGGAGCCTGTTTTTGACCCACACACTTTGCCATTTTGCGTTGTTATGCCAACATGGGAACGCGATCATCAAAAGCGCTGATCAACTACTTGTTTCAATTCGGGGAACCATTGTGTCCGGCAAGATGCCTTGGACACAAAACAGCGGAACGCCAATGTTCTGCTACTGGTTGCTCTTTGACTTGTCTTGGCGATACTTCATGGTTTCACGAGTCGCGCAGAACCCTGGGGCACAGCATACCACTGGCTGCAAACGTCATCGGGTTTTTTAGCCCCTGTGCAAGCTGGAAGCGCTGTGGCAGTTGAGCCTTGGTCATTTCTTAAACGCGAAGGGCTTTGATTGCCAGACACAGCTCAGAGAGTGCAAATGCCATCAGTGCTCTGTGCAGCCCTTACGTACTTGCTTTAGTGTGACATGTGGCACGCTGTTGCTTCCGCATGTCGATTTGGTGACGCGTGGTTGCTTTGTCCAAGATTGCAGCCATTCCTGTATTTTGATCTTGAGTGTCCTCATCCAGAGCCGTACATGTTCAGCTGCGCCGCTCTATTTGTGTCTCGGTGGAGTGTGTGTGTGTGTGTGTGTGTGTGTGTGTTTGTGTGTTTGTGTCCCTTTCCCAAACGTGCAGGAACAGTCCAATCGAAGGGTTTTACCGTCCACAAGAAGCATGGTCTTGGTCAAGCTTGGAAAGCAGCAGCAAACCCATGTTTGCATCCGACTTACGGCAAGCGACACCGACGTGTTTTATCAGCATGAATCCTTGAGCATGTCTTATGAAGTGCAACCTGTACCAAGATGCCAAGCACCGCCATCCGTGAAGTTGCTGTACTGAAGGCCGTCAGCAATGTGCATTTCTCACGTGAGTATCAGCCACCTGTGTGTGTGTTCCCTGTATGCAAAGTATTTTCTCCCCTATGAATTGGGCAGTTGTAACTTTGGGACGCGTCAGTTCAAGCAGGCGGCTGATCATCCGAACGTGGTAAAGCTGTTTGTCTCTCAGCCAAAGTGTGCCAGACACCAAGATTTACTCAAGTGCTGCCTGACGCACGAAGGCTGGACGTCTCGTGCAGCCCTGGACGTTTGCATTTGGTCTTTGAGTTTGTCAACGCCAACCTGAAGCAGCATGGGGCTCAAGTTCAGCAGTTCAGAATCACCTGCTTGTCAGATTGCCACAGTGCAACATGAGTGACAGCCAAACATATTCAACCCTTTTCGGACCCCTTATTTTTGAGGGCATGCCAGCATAAAACCGGGGTCACATTTTGTGGCAGTGCATTTGTTGTGAAAATGTCGCGTCACGCGCACTCAGGTATATGAAGAAGCTTGGGCGGCCTTTGAGTCCTGCATCCGTGCGACCATCAAAAACAGAAACGTTCTCTTTTTTTTTTTTGCATTCTTGGTAGAGACATGTCCAGGTACGCTCACTCCAGAAGCAGTTGATGCAGGGGATTGACTACTGCCATGCAAAAAGGTCTTGCTGAACGTGCGATCTGCCTTGAGATTTCTCATGCCAGGATAATCCACAGGGACCTCAAGCGAGAAGCTCAGGAGTCCAGTCTGCAGGTCACGCTGGCAGAAGCAACTATTGTGGGAGCTGTTTGATCCAAGGCCTCAGAACATCCTGGTTGATGGGGAGGACTGGGACCAGTCTTGGAAGTTGTCATTTCTTTGAAGCCTAAGGCGATGCACCTGGCAGGATCAGCTGAAGATTGCTGATTTCGGCATGGCACGTGCGGCTTGCATCAATTTATGTTATTTGAGGGCTTGTTGACTCATCCTGCACTTTCGGTCATAAGCACATCGCACTAAGGCCTTCAACTTGCCTCTCCCAAAGTACACACATGAGGCGACGCAAATTGCTCTGTATGCATGCGACTGCGGATGGGACGTGGCACTTAGGTTGTCACGACTTGGCAAGGTCCTTAGACTGGAAATGCTTGCAGAAGTGATTTGTAGATTCTGGGTGACGCAATGTCTGCCGGACATTTGGTACCTACTTCCGGACCTGCCCAGGTATCGCTCGCCTGAGATTCTATTTGGATGCCAAGAGTACTCTTTGGGATCTTGACTCAGTGAAGGCAGATGGCTGTGCAGCCTTGTGCCCGTCGGAGATCTCGACGTGCTTGCTTTGCATCAGCCTCTCAGGAGTGGATGTTTGGAGTGCCGGGTGCATTCACGGCGAGATGGCAACAGGTCGAGACTGAAGCTCCTTTTGCTTCGTGTTGCGCTTCACTTCTCACACGACAGCCTGGCATCTCATGCAGGTGCAGCGCTCTTTCATGGCGACAGCGAGATCGACACCATTTTCCAGATCTTCAAGAAGTTCGGCACCCCCACTGAGGACCGAAAAATCGAAGCAGAGTTGAAGTCGTTGAAGGGGCCAATCCGGGAAGCGCAGGGTGAGTGGCCTGGGCTGTCTGAGCTCCCAGACTTCAAGCCCACTTTTCCACAGTGGCCGCCTGAGGTCAGCTTTCACAGATTCTCATATGGCCATGGTTCAAAACCAATGGTACCATGTTGGGGTGGGTGCACCACCCATTTTAGTCTATTTGAGTGGGGATCGGGATATTCACTGGTGCGGGGTTTTGACCCATGGTCATATGGCTATGAATTTTTAGTAGGCACCCTTGGGTGAACATCATTTAGGTGGGGATTTATGTCCACCAACCACTTTTCAGGGGGTCCCCTATGAAAAGCTTCACAGCCCATGTGAGTGGCCTTTCTCCAATCGAGGTGGCGCAGGCGCCCCTGGAGCGAGATCCGCAACGCCGCTTCCCAGCTTGGTGCGGTCAGACGCTCAGTGCCTTGCGTTGAGGTCATTTGGGTGTGGGTCAAAATTCAGCCACCAGGGGACCGCCTGTTTTAGTCATGGGTTCCATTTACCAGGGTTCCATTTTGGGTACCCATTGTTGACCCACAGCCATTTTTTGCTTGACGTTGGACATGCGACAAAGGAAAGTTTCCAGTGAGCAGGTCATGACTCAGAAGTTGTTCATACTGTCCCACGAACATGCACAGATCATATATGTACGCACATTTGCACCCCATCATGGAAATGTGCGGTTCCAGTTTTAGGATCTCCCGGGCCCCTGTTAGTGAGTGGGACTGGTGGAGGGTTGTTTGTTCCGTATGACAAGACAGAATGAGAAGGGATGTCCTACCTTCTGAACAGGCATGACGTTCTCGACAAGCAACGGTTGATTCGTGCTGACCGAATGGCTGCGGAGCCGCTGGTTTACTTGGGAAAGAGCACGACAATTCGAGTGAAACGCAGCACATGCGGCTACGGAAACCACTTAATTAGAAAGATATGAACACGACAGCCTGCAACTTGTATGCAAGAGCGACACAAAATGACAAAGGAAGGCTACTCACCCGCACAGCCCAAAGCAGCACGCCTCCTTATGTCCCCTCCCTTCCTCCATTTCTCCATCGCTCCATCCCTAGCCTCTTCTTTTCGCTGAATTTCACTTCTTCCCTGGCACTATAGGAGCGATCCTAAGCAAATCCGAGACAAACCTTGAACAAATTCTAACCCAATGCTAAACACCCTCAAGCCAACCGGGAACCATTCCTACCCTCCTTCACCGCTGGTACCCTGCAAGTGCCTCCCGACCACGAATAGCATAGCTGACGCCTTGATTTCCAGGTCAGGGAGGTCATTTGCTCCTTATACCTTCCTTACCCCTGAGCATAGTCTATCTTTGAGAGCAGCAACACATGCGCATGTCCGTAAGCTCCCCCAACCTAATCTCTTTGGAACAGCGCGATAGCCCCAGAAGACTATGACTCAGTTGAGGAAGCAAAAATAATTGTAAACGCTCCGCGTTGCCCGCCTCGGCCAGTCCGCTTTTGGCTGGCTTTGAGGTATAGACTGTGCTTTAGTTTGCCTTGAAGCGTTGTTATTAAAGTGAGTGAGTAAGCGCCGAAATGCGCGAGCTGGTTTCCAAGCTAGAGGGTAGGCGCATGTCCGCGCGATTGCACCTGGCTTCAAGGGCCAGAACGAGAGCCGCAGAGAGAGCTACAGACTGGTGGGCCAAGCGCAGGTCCAAATTTCTAAGGAATTTGACGTTTTTGCGGGGGATTTTTCCTATGGGGGTTTGACGGGAGTTGGACCTGTTTTCAAGGGGATTTGACAGGTTTCTAAAAGGGAGTTTGGCTGGTTCCTACGGCTTTTTAAGGGGGATCTGTGGGTTTAGTCACGGAACAAGTCATGCCATTGAGCCCGCGCTGAAATGTATGTTGGGCTTGGGAAGTCTGGTGCCCGTAAGGCGCACAGGCTGGCGTGTGTTCTGGTCAATTTTGCACATAGACGTACGCAGAGCAGCACTACAAGCTTTGTCAACTCGATGTACGTGATTCACATATCGCGCCTGAAGAACAAAACACACGCTCTGACTGATGTCGCAGTTGCCTATGACGCATGCATCAAAGCCGCAATCAAACCCAAATCTTGGACGGCTATCCTGGAACTCTTTGTTCTTGTTTCATCGAGGAATTTTTAACCCAGCCCTGGATAAACCTAGCGCCTGTGCCATGAGGTCTGGATAGAGCTGCTCAACATCCTTAACCCAAAAGCTTGTAGATTTGAGCAGCTGAGCAGACGGCTTGCAGCGCAGCATGTGTCTTGTGAGGCTGGCACGCGGCTTCTGGACGCTTTGCTGGCGTATGCGGTGATGCATCAGTGTGATAGAAGTGCACAGCATGGAAAGCTCATTGTCTGCAGGATTGCATGCTCCGATATGACCCATCTCAACGCATTTCTGCCAAGCTTTCATTGCAGCATGAGTGGCGTGGTCAGCAGTTTGGATTCTTGCTCCTTGAGCTATGCAAAGCATGACCGTTGTGAAGTTTAGTCGCACAAAGCTTAGGTATTTTGCAGTGACGGGAGATTCGGACGCTGTGATGGCAGACTAGTCAGCGCAAGCAGCGGCTGATTTGCAATCAATTTGCTTGAATTCGCCCAAATTAGGGGATGCAGGCTCCCAGCCTACAATGTGCGCGCTGCATGAATTAAGCATGGTCCACCAGTTGCAGCACTTGGATCATTGATGCAAGAATTGAATAGCTCATGATGCAACGAACGGCGCAGTGCCCGATTTCAGGCCCGCCAAGTATTCTTGCCTGCAAAATTATCCTAGATCGCGTGCTCAGCCGATTGCAAGGCCTGGCGTGCTTTTCTATGTCTCTTTTCTCAAATATGCCTCGCTAGCGGCACGGCCACTGCAGCTCAAGCTTGATAAGCTTGCCTTGGAGAAATGGGACGCCGTGTTAGAGGCAAGGCTGAGCAGCAGATCTGTGAAGCTCTGGAAAGTGATCAGGCACCACTGCCTTGGTGCTCGGTGGCGGACTATGCGTTGTGCTGAGCATTCACGGCATTCCGTAAAGACCGCATGGGCTGTCTTTCCGCTTTGCGGCCTGGTCCTCGTTTGAAACGTGCAGGTTTCGTTCCTGGCTTTACACCTCTCTCATCGTCGAGCTCTTCTAAACTCAGCGGGCGAGCGGCTGCCTGGCCAGAACAGACACAACCAATTGCGGCACACATGCCAGCCAACCAAACGAACGAACAAATGAAGCAACAAAGAAACGAGCAAACGCAGATGCAAAAAGAAGAAACACACCAATGCACCAACACACAAGCACACAAACACACAAACATGCCAACACACCAACAAGCGCAACATACGCAGCACCACAGAAAGACGCCAACACACCAACAAGCGCACCTACGCAGCAACACAGAAAGACGCACTCACCGAAACACAAGCACAAACACAAACAATAGACACAAGCAAGAAAGGGCACAAACTATATGAGGAAAGGACCAAACACACAAGCGCGCCAAGAAACGTGCAACAAAAGAAACAAGAAAGCTATCAGCCAAGACAAGAGGCAACCCAACAAGCATACAAAACACATAGAAACTACAACAGCGAAACCAAGAAGCACAACAGCCAAAGAAATAAACGACAAAAGATACACGGCAAGAGCACTCTCACAAAGAAAGCCAAGAACTGAGACACCAAGCAAACACAACCAGCCAATGTGATAAACATAAGGATCATCAGATAGACAAACGAACCGGCAGGCAGGCAGGCAGGCAGGCAGGCAGACAAGCAGTCGAGCAGGCAAGCATGCAAGCAGCGAGATGGCCTGCGGGTGCAGGCAAGCAAGCAAGCGAGCCAGCCAGCCAGCAAGCAAGCAAGCTGAGGTTTTTGCTTGGGTAGTGAGCCAACCTGACAGATGTGCATTGGTTCTTGCAGTGCAGAAGGTTCTGATATTTCGTGGCTCCTGCCCACCCACATTGTCAACCTGCTCTTGAAGTCTACACCCACACTCCACATCCTAACAAGACAAGCCCAAAGTGCAAGCAGTGACGGCAAACTGTTTAAACGAACAGCAACACCTGGGTCAGCAGCGGGAAGTTGGGCGCATTCCTGACATTGATTCCCTGCTAGGTATTGCTTACATGGCATTTGTTTTGCAATTATCAAGGCTCAGCATGCAAGTCACTGCTCTATTAGCAAAGCCTAGGCTCGCTTGCAAGATGGATTGCGACCTTCTTCAATGCAAGGCTGTGCTGCGTGCTGCATGCTATCGCAAGCGTTCAAGAGTCAGACTTGCTCTTGTGAAGGTTCATCCTTGGCTTTTGCGGGTACCGCAGCAATGATGGCGGCGGGTGTCTTACCGGCTCAAAGCTCTTGGATTGAGCAGATTCGAGTGGCTCGCGGCAAGGCTGGAGTTGCTCGAGTGGCTCGGTCAGCCGAGCCATCCGAGGCAATCGCGCCATGGCTTGTCCTTTCAACACTTGACACGCAGCTTGCTTTGTTTTCGTGCAGTATGTCCCAACCCGCATAGCAGGGACTATACTAGCAGAGCCCGCGAAGCCGGTTGGCGAACTTTCAAACATAAAAGACATCTAGTTATCTTTTCTTTTTTCTTTCTCTTTCTCTTTTTCTTTCTCTTCTGCTTTCTTTTTTTCTTCTCTTTCTCCTTCTCTTTCTCCTGTTTCTCGTTGTCTTTCTTTTTCTTCTTCTATGCATCCATCCATGCATCCATCCATCCATCCATCCATGCATCCATCCGTCCGTCCGTCCATCCATCCATCTATCCATCTATCTATCTATCTATCCATCCATCCATCTATGTATCTTCTGTCTATTTGTTCATGTTTTTACGTAGTCGTTCTACCTATCTGTCTTGCTCTCTGTCTTTTTGTGTATCTTTCTATCTGCAATCTTGCTATCTACCCATATACATGTTTGATATTTTTTCTCTATCAACCTATCCATCCATCTATCTACATGAATATATCTGTTTATTTGTCTGTGTATGTATGAAACCTATCTATCCCTCTATCTCTATCTATGTATCTGCCTTTTTACCGAGCTATCTATCGACCTATCTACCTGGCTGTCCGTCTGTCTGTCTGTCAGGCTGTCGTGGATCTATCTATGTATCTATCTATCTATCTATCTATCTGAATCTAGCTATTTATCTCTCAATATAGCCATCTATCTAGTATCCTTGTATCCTTGTTTGCATTTATTGATGCGCAGTGATCCAAGAGTAAGAGTGTGCGCCTGCAATGGAATCTGTACCTGACCTTGCGAAAGTGCTGCGCCTGCCACAACACTTGCGTCATGGCCGTGCGAAAGCGCGCTGTGCCTGCCACAAAACCTGTACTTGACCTTGCGACAGTGCCGTGCTTGCCACAGATTTGCGCTTGACCTTGTGAAAGTGCTGCGCCTGCTGCGAAATCTGTACCTGACCTTGCGAAAGTTATGCGCCTGCCACGAAATCTGCATGTGCCAGTTTGCGCGTCCGTGCCAATGGGATTTGTGACGAGTCCGTGCCAGCATTGCTAAATTGCCGCGCCTGTCATGTAATCTGTGCCTGCCGCGAAATCTGTGCCTGACCTTGCGAAAGCGCCGCGCCGCCACAAAACTTGCACATGGCCATGCGACAGCGCTGCGCCTGCCACGAAGTCTGTAGTTGACATTCAAAGGTGCCGCGCTTGCCACAAGCTTTGCGCTTGATCTTGTGAAAGTTCCGCGCCTGCCACAGACCCTGCGAAAGTGATGCACCTGCCATGGAATCTGCACCGCGCCTTGCGAAAGCGCTGCTGCCACGAGCTTTGCAAAGCGAAGCGCTGCGCCTGTCACGCAAAACTGACGTCGCGAAAAGTGTGCGAGTCTGTGGCAATTGGGCAGGGCCCGAGCCCGTTTTGCACCTGTTCCGAGAGCACCTTCATCTATTGTCCGTACGTGGAATTCCTAAACTTCCATGGTTCAATTGTATAGGCACCCTAGTCTTGGTAAGAAAAAAAGGACATTAGTAGGCCTCCCGTGTACCAGTCATATTGTCCGTTCCTCATGCATACATGCGTACAAACATGCATGACATGACGTGACATTGCGTTGCGTTGCATGCGTTGCGTTGCATGCGTTGCAGTACTTACTGACACGTGCAAATTGGTGATGAGTGAGGACAAACACACACACACACAAACACATGCAGCTGTGCTGGGAAGGCCAAGCCCAAGCCCGAAGAGAGCACCACGCCCAAGGACGCATGCTTCCTAGGGCCAAGCTTTCAGACTTCTGATCGATTCAACGACCGCGCTTTGGCACTGTTGTACATGATAGAATTGTGCTACACCGTATTTCATTATCATGCATTTGTGCCCTGAAACAAGGTCTTCTGTTTGTTCCCCCAGTATTGAATGATGGGGGAATGCGCCACTGTTCCGCTGTGCTTGGCTTGATTTGTTCAATGCTGCGTGAATTGGTGATTTGCTAGAGAGCGGCGTGTGCAACTGGTTTCAAGCATTGAACACTTGCTAAAACACGGCCGCCCAAAAGCGCTTCAGCGTGTTTGTTGCGGAAACAGTATGGGCGAATTGCAAACATATTTTGCTGCATAAGCGACGTGGCCAAGTTTACACCAGATGTGTCAGCTCCGATTTTGATGTTGCTCTTGACTGCTTTGATGCCTGCAGGAGGATGCAAAGAGCACCGAGGCCACTGGGACTTTATGTCCAATGAGTACTTGCCGAGGTATGGATTTCTGATTGTGGACACGTGCCCGAGATGACAATGAGAACATGTTTCAAACTCAACTCGCACTTCACATGCACATCATTCGTCAATGTAATGACAACATAATTGAAATAAATCGAAGATGATCAACCTCCCCAGAATCAAACCAGTCTGGAACATCTCCAGCATCCAACAAGTCTGGTTGTCACTGCTACCAGCATCACACCCAACCACAGCGCCCGAAGTGACACATGAATGACGTATATAGCCCTTGGATGAACGATACAATCCTGGTTATCGCCACGAGCATCACTTGCATCTAATGTCACCCTGGCAAGCAAGGGCTGGTCGGATATACTTTAGCTGCAAATGCTGTGCATGTGCACTATGTTGTGGCATGTGGTCTGGGAGCATTTCTGGTCGTGCCTCAATATAGAGCAGCACACGTCTGTGCACTGTCCGGTTCCCATTTCATATCTCAAAGCCACAGATACTAGTAGTGACTCTCACACGCTGTGCCGCTTCCCGTGCAGGCACATGATACAGTTTTGTCGCCATAATATTTCACGGTGAGACGTTGTGCGCACATGATTTGATTAAAATAGACACCAAGTCAAGACTTGAAAGGCCGCAAAGCCAAGCGAAGCTGAGGAGGCCGAGGCTGGATGAGTTCTTGTGGTTGCCCCTTGAATCAGCAGAATAGTTTCCTTTAAATTATTCATGGTGCCCTGAACTAGGCGACTCCGGCCGGATTTGATCTGACAAAGCAGCAGCCTCAGATTTGCAAATGTTCAGTCAAAGGCGCTTGGAAGGTGTTGGTGTGGCTCGTGTTCTCTGAGGCAGGTTGGAGCAACTGCACCGTTGGGCTTTTGGGATCCGGCGAAGCTCTGCAAGGGTGGCGTGCCAAGCATTGTGGTCCATCGTACCCTTCAAGCCCATCGCAGATCTGTTGCAATAACACAGCTTAGGCGACGAAGCCACATTTCGCAAGTCCGTGCCTCACTTGCCACATGCAGCCAGTCACAGGACATCAAAAGCGTCTCCTTTGAGGTATCGAATTGCGGAGTTGAAGCACGGGCGAGTGGTGCTGATCCTGGAAAGCTCTGGCGAGTGGTGCATCTAAGAAAGCAATTGCTGAGGCGATGATGGCAGCCCTTGGTGGTGTGGTGCAACATTTCATTACGTTTCCAGGGTGCGCCATTGCAGTCGGTGCATTCTGCATGCTGCAACGCTTCGACTGTAAACCATGGCCCACAGCGAATGAAAAGCATACTGGCTTCAGCGTTACTTTGGGCCATGGAACCGATGTCGCGTTGTCACATGATTTTAATTCAGCAAGCAGACCTTCCAAATATACTTCCCAACTGTTTTGCCGCATTGGGAGTGGGCAGTGTTTCGTGCTCATGCAGGTTCAATGATGTCCCTCGCGGCATCGAGGCGCCCACGTCCACTCTGGGAGGTGTTGGCTTCCTGCTCTTGATAGGCCTGTCAGGACCAACCGTTTGATACACGCAACTGGTGTGATATTTGATGCAGGCAACACCATGTCCACATGGCCCCTTGATATGATCGCGAGGATATTTGGAGACGGGGGCGTTTGAGCAGGATCCCAACAAGGAGGACGGACACGTGCGAGGATATGCAACTTGATTCGTTCGTGTCAACACACACACACACACACACACACACACACACACACACACACACACACACACACACACACACACACACACACACACACACACACACACACACACACACACACACACACACACACACACACACACACACACACACACACACACACACACACACACACACACACACACACACACACACACACACACACACACACACACACACACACACACACACACACACACACACACACACACACACACACACACACACACACACACACACACACACACACACACACACACACACACACACACACACACACACACACACACACACACACACACACACACACACACACACACACACACACACACACACACACACACACACACACACACACACACACACACACACACACACACACACACACACACACACACACACACACACACACACACACACACACACACACACACACACACACACACACACACACACACACACACACACACACACACACACACACACACACACACACACACACACACACACACACACACACACACACACACACACACACACACACACACACACACACACACACACACACACACACACACACACACACACACACACACACACACACACACACACACACACACACACACACACACACACACACACACACACACACACACACACACACACACACACACACACACACACACACACACACACACACACACACACACACACACACACACACACACACACACACACACACACACACACACACACACACACACACACACACACACACACACAGACGCACATGTTTCCCTGTCAGCCCGGGGACTTCGGAGATCCTCTCGGCATTGCGGACAAGTTCGGAAAGTGAGCCGACTCGCGCAAAGTTCGGCATTTCGCCCCGCATTTTCAGCTGAGCCGCTTTGTGGTTGTGCGCGCCTGCGAGGTACGATGATGAGTGGCGGAATCGCGAAATCAACAACGGCCGTTTTGCAATGTTTGCTGCTCTGGGCATCATAGTTGCGGAGAATGAGACAGGCGCGCAGCTGGTGTTAAGAGAACATGAAGTTTGTTCCGATCGTCCGGTCTTGCGAAAGAGACTCGTTTTTGTTGTCAGGCTATGATGCGGTCGAGCAAATCTTTGGACTGTGAGTGACAATTTTTCGCCTGGCATTTAGGGTGTCAAGGAGCACTGGGGCAAGCGTTTGCAATCGTGGCCGGACGCGCCTTGCAAAGATAAGTTTTTCCTTGTAGTCTGTGCCGCATGCGCAAAGCTGCCAAGACATTATACTGTTAATATCAAAAGAAGTTGCCAACTCCACAGTGGCAGCGGAAGTCATGACAGAAGCACGAGTGAATGCAGTGAAACACGCAGTCTGAATTGCTGGCTGCATGGTTCTTGATTGATGTGAGACATCGAATGCTTGACCGCTGGCTCAGTTTAATTCGCCACAGAGCTTGTGCAGACCGGAAGCAGGGCATCACCTGAGTTTAGCCTGACGGTTGGCAGCGAGCCCTTCCTTCGCAAGGTAAATGTATGTAAGCAGCACGGAGGCTTTTTTTGTGCACCATGTAACGTGTGAAACCCAAGCTCGGAGTGTTTACATAGGACGGCATGCGTTTGACTTCTTTAGCGCTGTATGCACCATGCAAGACCATCATGGAAGGTACGAGGAGGCCCATCTTATTTGTGCATGGCTCCTGGACTGTTGTCCGATTGCCTTATTTTGAGTACCTGAAACAAATGAAGTGCAGCTCATACTCTGCATCCAACTTGGTGATCTTGCTGGACCTGGAGGGCCGCATTGTTTATGCAGTGTGGAACACAAGGCGTTTTCTAGACCATTACACTACTAGAACTTTGGTGAGTGCGTTTTCTCGTTTCCGAAGGTTTCGCTGCCGCCTTGTCGCACATGAGGCCTGTTAATTTTGTTTGTTAAGAGTGGCGCATTTGAACTTAAAGCCTCCACCGCGTTTCAAGCAACAGGTGATCCTTTGCATGTGAGATGGACTACGGCTGGCTGCAAACTGAGAGTTAGGCAGTATTTACGATGATGGGGGGGAATATCCCCTGATTTTAACAGCTGTTCATTCACTTGGAATCTGGCAGTGCAACCAAGGTGTGGTTTGGCCGGCTTATTTGCCATTCTCCTGCTTGCCAGAGCCGCATTCGGCTGAGATTGCAATCGCTGACGCCCGTTTCGAGGCTGGGGCTATCTTCGGCTTCATTGTGATCTTTGATCTTTGGAGTTGGAGGGATTGGAGGCCAGAAACTTGGGACGCCGAGTCTCGAATTCAGCAACACAGTGGCAGGATTCTCTACGCCTCAGAGGTGTTGGTCCTCATCGTTTTTCTTCTGTTGGCACTGGTTCTGGCAAAAGTCTTGGCAACTGCGCGGATCTCAAGTTCAGGGACCCACGGGCATAGCGAAGACTGGATGCTTCGAGCATGACATCCAGTATGTTATTGGATATGTTGAGTAGTCTACACATGTCACAGCTCTTGTATGTGGAAGCCTTGGCATTTTTTTGCAGACCATTTCCTCTTGTAATGTGGACAAGTGACCAACAGGCTTAAGCTAATTCAGCAAATCCGGGCTGGCAGGGCAAAGAATCACCTTTCCTTGTTTGTAGAAGCAAGCTGCCGAGTGAATGCTGCACGGTTGCGATCAAGGTAGTCCATCTCGTCGCCACCTGCTGGAAGATTCACCAATACAGAGCCCTCATACAGACTGCCGTGCACGAGCAGGACAAGCGTGCTTTTGTGTGGACAAAAAGCTTGACAAAGAGAGATATATTGGTACATGTGCGCATTGAGTACATTTTTTGTCGGGTAGCGTGCCCCATTGTCTCTCTCTCTCTCTCTGTGTTTGTGTGAGCCTTTCTAGTTCATGGAACACAGGGTCACTCCTGGCCAGTGGATTGTGAGTGGCCAGCCAACGGAGGACCACTTTGCACGCTGATAGCTTTGAGAGACGTCCCAAAGCCACACATGCGTGAAAAAACCTTTCCAACCGGCAGAACACCTCTCCTCAGGAGGCGAGCCTATTGTGTTTGAGCTTCCAGTGAAAGACGGCCTTGAGATCCCCGGTCCGTCGATTTCTTCTTTGCTGGTAGGCATGGTAGGGCTACAGGCAAAGCATGGTCGACTCACTACGTCCTCTCCTGGCCAGCGGCGCCCGCGTGCAGTGCCTGGCGACAAATGTGGTTGCTAGCATAGGCTTGCTTTGCTAGCATGGACCCCAGTCAAGGCCACTTAGTTCGTTGTGTGACGAGCTCAAGCCAGAATTCCCAATCTCAGGTTCGCCTTAGCCTGGCATGGCAGCCTGCGGTGTCTTCTCATCCCGATTGCGGCGGCTTCTCATCCCGATTCCGATTGCTGTCCTGGACGCGGCGTCGCAGCTCGTCGCTTTCGGCCCAGCTTGGGCAAAAGTCGCAGCTGGCAGTAGCGTACGTCACACGCGTGGGCGCGGCGTCGCAGCTGGCGGTGATGGATGTTGGGCTGTTGCGTCTTTTCAAGCCGCCTGGCGCCGGGAGCAGGGTGCCTGGGCGCGTCTGAGCGTCGTTTCGCGGCTGCTGGCAGTAGCCTTTGTCACGCGCCTTGGCGCGGCCGCGGCGCTAGCTGGGTGGGTGGGTGGGTGGGTGGGTGGGTGGGTGGGTGGGTGGGTGGGTGGGTGGGTGGGTGGGTGGGTGGGTGGGTGGGTGGGTGGGTGGGTGGGTGGGTGGGTGGGTGGGTGGGTGGGTGGGTGGGTGGGTGGGTGGGTGGGTGGGTGCGTGGGTGCGTGGGTGGGTGCGTGGGTGCGTAATCCTTGCGCGCTTTTCTGTAGGCCTTGCGTGCTCTGAACGTTTGAGGGCGCCCGTTAACAAGATAAGCAAGCCGGTTGGAAAGGTAAAAGCGCAGGTGTGGCTTTGGGACGTCTCTCAAATATATCATCCTTTGGCGGATGGCCGCTTGTAGTCCACCGGCCATCAAGGCTGCTTGGCCTGTGCCCCCCCCCCCGCTTGGGTTCGGTATAGCTGGTTGCAGCCCCTCGCTCATGGACTCATGCTGCGTGCCAGCAGGCTCTATTCCCTTTCCCTGTCACAGAAGCCGACCTAGTCGGCTTGCTGGACATTGCAGTCGTTTTGCAATTCGAATGGCAAGGACAGACTGGTGGTGGATTCAAGCGCCAACATCAATCGCAATGTTTGAGTGCTCGAGGCCTTTGATCCATGACATCTTTTTGGCAATGGGGTCCAGCTGCCCCTTCGCATGCCTTTCGCTCGATGTCAAGAGTGCCCATAAGCGCGTCAAAATCCAAGAGCAGGATCAGGCTTTGATTCGAGCCCGTGGAGCGCTTTCTTGGCAAGTCTTGATACTCTTGCGTGCGTGTTCCAGCGCTACCCGGGGCTTTCCTGCCAATCGGGTGTTTCTTTCCTCGGGCACGCCGCAGTGACCTTCGGCCGAGGATCTGCACAAAGCCGGTTGCTAAGGGATGAAACATCTGCGTTCCGCGCTCCGTCTCCCGAGAGCCGCCGTTTTGTTGGAAGTTCTCCGCACCCGTCCTACAGCGTTGGAATCGGGGACTGGCGCCGTCGTCAAGGCGAGGTAATTTGATTCCGAATCAGTGTCGGCAGGAATGGTCACGCAACCCTGCCGGGCCTCCCCAAGCCACGCAAAGCCATGTAGCTTGCTGGGAGGTGGCGCAACGCGCATTGCTCTGGTTCTCCAGCGCGCTGACGCTGGCGCCGAATTTTCTCGGAGCTCTCCGCTAATTCACCGCTCTCGCGCTTCCCGCTGTGGCAGAGGCTGCTGCGCTAGTGATTTCTCACACACCCGGCGACAAGAATGATTGGGCGGATGCACTCAGTCGCGACACACTTGAAGGCTGGGGTCCAGCAGGGGTCAAGTCCCACCTCCTGCTTCCTGCCACATCGCTTGTGCTGGCCAACCGTCTTCACCCAGGAGATACCCCTTGGGCTGCGAGACATCTGACCGATGCGGCTGACCGACCCCCAGCAAGAACGATGCGCGCGTGCGCGTTGACTTCCTTGCCTCGCTGTTCACAGAAGTCAACAAGAAAATCCCCTCTGTTCTGTCCTTGTTGTGCCTAATGCGCTGGACTCTTCTGTATACATAGTAATAATAATTGATATACACCATATATATATATATATTTGGTGCTCGCTTCCTCACATGACGCACGTATATGACATATGTTAGATTTTCGAGTCTTGAACACCCTGCGTGCATTCCAAATAAGTTGTTAGGACGAAGATCGGGCTCAGCAGATGCGGAAACTGCCCGTGTCTTGCTTTCCCCGAAGGAGGAAAGAGAGGATGGTGGACGCGCAGGACGGCCAGTGCCCCCCTACTCCATGCGCCAAAATTACATTGGGTGTTGAGCAGAATCCTCCTGTAAAATTAATCCGTGGAGAGCAGAACGTTGGTGAGTGAGTGTCAACGTTGATTCATTGACATATCTGATTTCTCTGAAGTCCAGATGACTGATTTGTGTGGCATGCAGAAGTGGCAGGTACGAAAGGTGCTTATTTGTCACGCATCTGTCGGTTCTGGACATTCCCGAGCTGCCCAGGCAACGGCAGGGTTGAGTGTTTTGCTTTGCCAAGTGGATAAACTTTGATGTGTCATATGGCCATGGGTCAAAAGCCCGTACCCCCAGTGAACATCCCCAAAATGGTGCCTTTGGTTTTGACCCACAGCCATATCCCGATGTGAATGCTTAGATGGCAGGCCCTTGCATCTTCGTTGCATCGGCTTGATCCCAGTGTGGAAGTAAAGCTGGTGGACCTAATGGAGCCGCCTTACGCAGACTGGGACCCAGTGGAAGCACCAACTGCATATCGGTGCATTCGTTCTTGTTTGTCTTTGGTGCTCTAGTTCTTTCGGACATTGTATTTTGAGGACCGAACTCTGATCTACTTTTACAAAGATTGGTGCGGCATCTTGTCCTGCATTTCTTCAGCTGGGATTCAGTAGCCCAGGTACCTTCGACTTGTTGGAGGTGAGACGGTCTGCGGAAACTTGGGTGGTCACTTTGTTGGCTTTCTCTTTGACCGCGCGAACAATGTCCATGACTCCTTTACTGGGGGCAACGCCCTGCAACGCCGCCTAACCCAGAGCTTCCTGCTCAATTTTCTTCAGCTCGTGCCGGGTGCTGAGCAATGCCAGCCCGAAGCGAAGGAGTGCGGTCAGCTTGCAGACGTATTGGGTGTGGCTCAAAATTAAAGACCTGGGTTGACGCAGGTTGCAGTCTTTGTTGGCATTTGCCAAGGTGCTGTTTTGCGTGACATTTTTTGAGCCACCGCCCTTTGGGCTCATTGGTTTAGCGCTGGTTTCAGTCCTTTTGAGCATTTCAGGTGCGAGATGAAGCCCGATATCTTGGTGCGACCTGCCACGCTTTGTCAAGTGAGACGGGTGACCATGAAACTTGTGGTGGTGCTCAGTTTGGTTTCAGGTCAAAGCAGCCTCGGGTTGGGACATGGGTCAGTTGCCAAATCCAAGAGACCCTTGAGCAAAGATCTATCTCGCTGCCTTGGATGCAGGTCCACACGCACTTTCTAGCGCCAGAGCTGGTGGCATCTCTTCGTCGAAGGTGCCGAGGGCTGAATCATTCCTCATGGGCAACCCAATTCACGTTCTTATCGCAGCCGTGCGTGCTGGTCATATCACTCCAACGTAATTAACTCTTATTTAATTTGCTCAAGTCATATTGAGGACAAGTAGTTTGTTCCCGGGTACTGTTAAATTTGCTCGTATCTCTGCGCATATGCCTCCAAGAAACACTCTTAGCATGGAAGTCGGGGCTCAGATTTGGGAGGCTGTCGATTGGATGTTCTTTCCAGCATTTGTCTGAGGTTCGCACACGAAGCGCTGAGAACTAGGCAAAACGTAAAAACAAATCTACTCCCACGAGCCAAGTTCCAGCCAAGCATTGCATCGCGTGCAGTGCTGGCAAGCTATTCTCGCCGCGTCATATCACGGCTTCCCTGTACCTTGCTGCTTGGTGCAACTGACAATCTCAAAGCG